GGGCCACACTCAGCATCTGGGAGACGCAGAAAGGGAAGGACCAGCCTCTCCCACCCCGTGAGGGACGAAGCAAGTGGCTCCCAGAGGGAACAGTCAATTTCTTCCGCCCTGCCCCCAGCTGAATCATTTGGCCTCTTCCTCTCTCTACTACTTTTGGAAAGACAATCTCTGTGAGTTTTCGAAATGTTCCCTAAACCTCTGTGCATAAACATTTTATTGGTCAAAGCTCCACTGTAATGTTTTTGTTACAACCTCTTTCTCTTTTGATGTGGGGAGGTTCAGAAGGAGTTTGCCTGGCCAGTCACTGCCACAAGTGATCGTGTTTCCTCGATTACTAAAATCTGTGCGACCTAAGGCACCAGCAGTGGGCTAATTTCTGTTGCTGCGCCCTTGTCCCAGAAAGAGTCCCCTCAGCTTGATGTGCTTCTTCCCACAGTTGATCCCTTGTTGTGAACGGATCACAGCGATGTTCAAAGTGACCACTAAGAAGCAAAGCCACGGGAAATTAGAAGGAAAATGAAAAATAAAAAAGAAAGCCATACACTTACTAGATAATAAAGACAGACTGCATTCACGTCCTGTCACCTGAAGCATAAATAACCCCAGCAGCGCACTTAAAGAGGAGGCCTCTTCAGTCAGGAAACTGCCAAACTCCTCACTCCCCTTCCTGGATTCCATTCTTACCTGCCTGCTCTCTTTCAGGCTTTGGTCATGGCTTTCAAGTCTTTCTGTCCCTTTGTTAAGTACCTTTCTTTTAGCCAGAATTACAGTTAGTGTGGGAGATGAGGCAGCACAAAGCAGGAAGATGGATGCAGTCACAGGTTTTCCCCGGCTGTGAACGGGGAGAGGCAAGATTTCATCCAGTGCTTTATTTTCCTTGCCTGGTTTCCTTTTGTGCCCCTGCCAGAATGACTCATTGCTGCCGCACTCTGGGCAAACCCCACAGCCTCTGTTGTCCCACGGGATAACTGATCAGGGTATGCACTCTTCCTTTCTCTAAAGAGGGAGTCTCCTTTCTAGCTTGCTTGAGGCATCGGTCAACAATTCAGACCCAATTAATCGAAACTCAACTAACAAAAGTCCTTATTCCATAGGAGGGAGTTAGCAGCAAAAGACCAACAGGTTGCCAAGAGTTACAAAACACTGGGACCTGTGCAGCTTCCGAGCCATGCTCTGTAACCTCCCATATTCAGCTGGAATGCTTTGTTGAGGAGAAGATTAGGAGGACTGTTGAGGAGAAGATTAGGATGTCACCTCGGGGGAAGGCTGCTTCCTTGTCTCCCAGAAATATTCCAGTCTCAGAGACTCAGGGACAAGTAGAGTCTAGAGAGGTTACCTAAGGTGCTGGCACTCCAGGTTTGCGGTGAATCTGAATTATGAGGGGCCGCGGGTGTTAGGGTAATGAGGCCTTACAAAACCCTGATGCTCGATCCCCCTCTGACTATAACATGGAGCCTATAGGTATGGGCCTGGGCACATTGTTTTTTTCCCCATGTGCTTCCAAAGTTGAGGCAAATGAGAACTTGTGATCTGGACCCTTACAATTCAAAGTGTGGCTGCAGAGCTGCGATACCTGGGAGCTCTCTAGAAATGCACATTCTCAGGCCCCACCATAGATTTACTGAATCACAATCTGCATCGTAATAAGATCACTGTGCAACTTGTACAAACATTAAAATTTGGGAGGTAGTTACTTT